GAAAGAGCCAAACTTAATCACAGTGACTGAGGTGCCCCTCTTACACCTACACTTGAGGATGAAAATAGATACAGTTTTGGATGTTTTTTTTAGAATATCATACAATGGGAAAAGTTCAAAAACTCTGCAGCTTCATAATTTGTACTCTTCAGAAGATGATATTAGTATGTTCAAATCAAAGATAATGGGATCAGTGAGCCATGTATACATGGGGGAGATGAGAAATCCATACCAGATTTGTCTGAAAATCAGAAGGACATAGGTTACTTGAGACCTTGGCATAGCTTGGATAATATTAAAATGGATGTTGAAGAAACAGGATGTGTGGGGACAAGATTTGCAGGTGTCTAAGGATAGATAAACACAGTAATGAAACTTTGGGTTACATAGAAGTTGAGGAATTTCTTCTCATGGACTGTGACTCAAAAATATATTTACCACAGCTGTGAAACTGGCTATAAGCTTGTCTTCAAGCCAGCCTTTCCAGCATCTGGGTGCCAAACTTCATCTCCCTCAGCTGGAAGAATGCCAGCACTTAGAAGTGGATCCGCAAAACCAGTCATACTTGGAATGTATAATTCGCACTGCAGCTATCACAGGCTATCATCCTGGTGGTACCTGTAAGATGGGAAGTCCTCATGATAAAACAACTGTTGTGGATCCACAACTGAGGTATTTGTATGTTACTTTACCATGTGTAACATTCTAGAGAATTTGGATCCAGAAAAGTGAATCGTACACAAACTTTAGACTATTAGTTTATAAATTGTTACCTCTCGTAAAAAGAAACAACACAAGAATTCATGTGACCGACCTCAAAAGTATTAATCTATTACATTAAACTTACCTAATTTCAATCCTCCACTTTACACCAATTGGTGCTACTGAAACAAAATGCATGCCACAGGAAATTGAGACTTGCATTCAGGGAAGCATCATATTACTTGCTCTATTAAAACCACTGAAAGCCACATACAGACACTTTTACTATTTCAAAATTATATACAGTAGCTGAAGTATTACTTGCAAAACCTACAGCAAATTAACATGGATGAATGAAAAGTTGGTGTTGACAAATGGTGAAGTCTTACATGTAAAATTACATTTTATATTATGAGTACTTGTGAGGGAGGGACACGAGTTTTTATTAACAATGCAATTTAAAAATCTAGCTTCTTTCATATATCAACATTGAAGATATTAAAACAATTATTCAGTTTATTTTTATGGCTGCTGTTTGAAGTATACTATTTTGTCATTACAGAGTGCGAGGTTTGCATGGTCTCCGTGTCATGGATGCCAGTGTAATGCCGACACCAGTTTCAGGTCATCCAAACTCTATACTCATTGCTATGGCTGACAGGACTGCAGATCTTATACTAAGACACTGATATTTCTTAAAAAGCATGAATTTGAACTGTGTAATTTAAGTGAAATAAATGAACAATAAAGTATTATAATAATTTAAAATAAATCCACTGAATGTGTTACTGAGTTATAAATTGTTTAGTAATATAAATACTATTTGAAACCCCTCTCTGAAGTCCCAGTTATGTAAGGCAGTTGTAATGCTATTAAACTTTAGCTTGAAATTTGAAAAATAGTCAATATGGAAAAAGAATTCATAGAAGATGGCTGTCTTCCAGGTTGTTTCGTCATGTAGTCTGCAGCAAGGACCTCTGAAATGTCAGTAAACTTATACCAGACTATATGGTGCAACAACCCAGAAGACAACCATCTTCAGACTTGCCATTGTAAAAACCTCGAATCATACAAAAAATTCATAGCTTGATTCCACAAGAAATAAAAAGTTTTATGCGAGTGAATGGAAGTTTGAAACCTTTTTTTCAAATATCTAGTATGATTTGAAATGATTGGGCTCAACCCTGTCTACTTACATGAATGCTATGTTGCCTGTAACATTCCTTGTATGGCATTTGATAATACTGTACTATTAAGTTCAGAAATGATTGGGTTGGAAACATTTTAGTTACATATTTACTGTTATATAGCAGTTTTAAGCACTGTGAAAAATCAAATACATTGACAGCTATAATGATACATAATATATCTTACCACCTGTAAGATAACTCCTAGATGAGCCATGGGACTCAGCCTGATCATCATTCATTTATGGTCAAAAGAGATCTTTCAAAAGCAGCTAAAACACAGTTGAAACAGAAGAGAAAGTATGGATCATTTCACAAGAACAGCACTTGTCATATGCAGTCCCTAATAATGGAAGCAGTAAGCACCTCTGAAATGTTGGTCAATTTCTATGATACCATATGCCGTAACATCTCATATGGCAGTCATCTTCAATTATTTTCTGCTTGAATGTTATTTTCACAGTCCATTTCTGCATTGGACAGTTTGTGTCTATTACAGGTGATTTTTTCTCGAAGGTGCTGAATTAGTAGGATCAGAGGAAACTTACAATACTGTAAGGTTTTCATGTAAGTCAGGCTCTTACAGGTACATTTTACTGTCACTTAATACACTTATGACTGATGAGAATGAGTGTTAGCATGTAGTGAGGCAGTCCCTTGTTACTGCAGCCTCTAATATTATAGTGCATAGAATTAAGCTTACATGTGTGAATGATGAAAATATTTAGGATCATTACTTGCCTGAAAAAACTGAGGAAAAGCAAGAGAAATCTCGGGACAAATGGTATCCTGGCTGAGATTCAAACTAGATACCTCCCAAATAAAATACAGTACTAATAACTAGACCATGCAATTTAGTAACTTTGAAAAAATTAAGTATGCCTTCATTAACTGTACTCAACCCTAGTAACTTCCTCTTACCAGTTCATGTCCTGCCTCTCACCATCACTGATAACTGGAATTTAATCAAAGACGGTACATTAGTTTTCAGTTTCACAGAACACGAACACACATATAACATAGTGGGTCTTTATTTAATTTCTGTAGCATCATACATTCTTGGTGTGTTGTGTATATACTTATATCCAGTGTTCATATATATAATTATAAAACAATCTTCACATAGACAGTGAAAGGGGGAAGTGGAGACAAGAGCTACCAATTTGAAGGGAGAGGCTGAACTACATTAGGAACATGGAAGATTGATTTCAGTTATTGTGTGAAATATTTCAAATATTAACAACTAGAGGAAAAGATACAGAAACTTGAGAACAAACTATGTACATTAAATCAAAATACAGCCAACTCTCGGTTTATGAACACTCACTACAACGAATGTCACAATTCATTCAAAATTTCTTAAAGTTGTCAATAGATAGAGTTCCTTATAAAATGAAATGCCAAATGTATAGTGAACATGATTGTAAGATTTAAATAAATAAACTTGTAAAAAATGTATTTATTACAATAATTGTCAGAAAATTATTATATGATAATTATACTGAACTGTTCTTGGTTAATAAAACTAATCTAGCCAGGAAGAAAAGTTGGTCTACATGCCACTCTGCGTGGCGTACGTTACGTATCGTATACGATAAACCATAATGCATACATTATAATAAGACGTATTGTATAGACCATTCGATGTTTAGTACATGGTTTTAATTCTTTAAAATGGCTGCTAACGTATATGATACGAATTGTAAAAGCTCAGGAATGCAAGATACACATAACGAACAACGTCTTGGAACGGAACTCGTTTGTAAACCGAGAGTTGCCTGTATCATTAAACTAGAAACATGAATATGTCCCATTCCCACTGCATTAATGGCCTCTCGGCCAGAACTATGGTTCTCAACTACAAATAGGTTAGGTGCCCTTGTTGAACACATGGTCTTCACCTGAATGGACAACTCTTATTAGAAACAAACAGAAAAAAAAAAAAAAGCAAACCAACAAGCACATTGTGTACCTTACTTCATTCTTGAGGGGGGACAATGAAGGCAGCAGCAACAGCTTCAGTGTCATCAGGCACAACTTTTATACTTTCACCGAATACTGCAATCACCTACATAACATCAACAATAACATGTATGCTACAGATAAATTAGTATTCTGCCAATAAACCAAAAAACCACCAGAAAATTGAGCTCAATGAACCACTAAGAAGGAGAAAATTACATTTGGAAAGATACATAAAACAGTAGTTAATAACTGAGTAACAGAAATTTCATGTAATTATATTTCTCAAACACTGTATTGTCCTCATAAAGTTGTAGGAGTATATATGTGTGATTATTATATGATAATATTTACAAATTTTCAACAACAATAATATAGTATGACTACATATGTGGCATCAATTTGTTTTATGTAGAGAACACAGTCCAATTTATATGTGCAAGAATATTGTAATCATCAGCAGTGGTGTATCTCTAGAGCATTTTAAAATGTTTTGTAAGATTTGATACCACATATGACCAAAATGACTACAGAAATCAGGAAGAGTTATTATATATGGAGATTAACATTACATACCCACTCCAGACTGCAAAATCTAACATCTGCCTGTGTCATACAAATATATACCACAAATAACAACAAATTATAGGAAGTGTACCATAATATAAATGGTATAACAATTTTTTCATTATATTTCATATTCAAACTTGATGTGATTAAAGCACCTCACTATCTTCCCCATGTCTGTATAACATTGATAATGTATAAAAATGCAATTACTGCAAAAGAAACAGAGTCCAATAATTTTTAATGTAAAACAAATCCAAATATTTTTATAAATTATCAAAGTTCCCTAATACTCAGTTTCCATGTGATACTGTTGCCAAAGATCCAGTAATAATAGCTACTAATAAAATGCATGTAGTTGCTCATCCCTTCCACACAAGTTTTTAAATTTCACGAACTAAAATCAATGACAAACGTTATAAAATGAATGGATATGTTGAACATTTGCCTTCTTCTTGTTCACTTGCCTGTGAATGTAATGTCATAATTATTCTAATTATGTACAAATTTACACTATATACTGATAATTTACATCAAGTGTGAATTGTTATATTTAAAATACTGTAAAATACTTAAATAAAAAACTTTGCTAATGCAACAACAACTGCTGGTAATAAATTATTAATCACAACTCTGTGATGATGAGGGTTGTTAGAATATCTCACAGAAACAATGTTCAGTGGAAAATGTCTATTGGAAACTGGATCACAAGAAAATCAATAAAACATCTTATAACAATAATTAAATATGACTTTGGCACCACTACCACATAATTCTCACACAAATACATTGGAATGTTTCAGCCCTATGCTCATTATTGTAATTAATAAGCTAAGCCAAATCCCTCTTTTAAGGCCGAGATCTGCGGAAGGCCAAAACAACATCAGTTCAATGCAACTGCTAATTCCAAATGCATATAGCCTCCCTTATTATAATACACAGGTAAATATGCACACATTTATGCCAATATAACGTGCTAAGAGATGATCAACAACATAATATAGAGTTTGCTGGAGATGAGAAGACTAGACCTCACCGAACCTTCAAGATCACTACAAAGTTACATGAATATTCACAGCACACTGATGAAAGGTTACACAATTATATGTACCTCTCAAATGATTGTAAGTTCAATCTGAGGGATTCTAAATTCAGTTATTATCACTGTTTGGTAATCACCAACAAGTGACTGACACTTCTGCTTCAATCACAAGCCAATTATGACATGTTTTCCATTCAAAATGGCATTTCAGCTGTACTTTCAATGCCACCAACATACTTACTGGTCAGACATAAAATATAATTCAATCTTTTATGTCTGCTAGACTTTAAAGTCCATAACATTCTCATGCGTACATGACAAAGATTCAACTATAAATGTATTATAAGTTGACTAGGCCCTTTCTAACATAGTAATCACAGGACTCCTCTGCAAGACATCTAATCTTTATATGAGATATCATATCTCAATATTATAATTATATATGCTCTTTATCTTAAATAAACAAGTATTATAATGGGATTAATAACAAATTCTAGTAACACATTATTATTATATTTTTTCAAAATAAGACCTTGCATATTATTATAATCCAACAAAATTTTCTTTGCATTTTGATTGAATGATTGCTTGTAATGTTAATCAAATGGGTTAAATAGATTGGAAAACTTTTGGTGTTTGATGATTATTAAACAAGTCACACTTTCATCATCCTGTAAGTACAAGCAGACTAAAATCAACTACATGGAACAAAAAGATATGAAAGTTCATCTGAGTTCACAGTAAAAATGCTGTGGTTTTGTATAGAATTTCTCTGAAGAATAATTTAATTCACCTTATGCAATGACACCATGACACCAAAAGCCATGAACCATATACATGAAGGGTGTTTCAAACTCACCATTAAGGCATAGGCATATAACATGAGAAAGTCTTTAAAAAATCCCATAAATCAAAATTGAAAAAATTGTAAACTGCCATACTGATTCATTCCTCCTACAAGCCACATTTTGAAAATAATTCAACGCACTGTTCTGAAAAACTCATACAGACAATTTATTAACCAGATTAATGCTTGCTAGGAAATCTTAATTAATTCTCACAATGACTGGTTATCATTAAAAATGGAAGTCTGAATGCTTGTACCACCACTAGTACTGCAATGTGAGTATATCCACCTAGTACAAAGTCTGCACCACTAAATCTCTTTCCGGCAGCTGTCGCACTTTCATGGATCCATCAGCACCACATGAAAATAACCTTGAAGCAGAGTCAACATGAAGTTGTGTCACACCCTGCCCAATGTTCTTGAAGAAACTTGAACGGGCATGCTCCCCAGCAAATGAATATAGAGCTGTGTGTACAGAAAGACCCCACACCTGTCAACAACAAAATAGTTTTTAATCTTCTAGTGACAAATATTTTAGCTCACTGTTTTATGCTAGCATGTCTTTTCTTAACCTTTATCTTACTAGCGTTCCCTGTCTGGGACGTAAGTTGTGTACTCAGCCCTACGAACGTTCCCGGTGCGGAACTCAAAACTTGCAACATTGTAAGTAGACTTGGCTATGTCTTTTGGCCTCTTTTAGGGGCTGCAAATATTGAATCACTTTCTCTAGGGTTCTGACAATTTCAACATGAGCTGTCAACCCGGGAACTATAACCATAAACAGCAATAAACATTGTTATTGTCAAGTGGGTTTCGGCTTCGTTTTCAGACTCCCTTATCAAAGATACTCACATTCCTCGGCATGATCTGTGAAAAGAATGTGTATCCACTGAAGTAGGGGAAACAAATTTTTCTGTGTGATCATTGGTTCACAACCATGGCTTCTACCATGTCGAATGAGCTTCCAAAGAAGAAAGTAATGTTACTAAGGCCTACATAGGCAATTAAGATATTAACTGAATTTTTTAAAAACTCTATGTATTCTCTTTCTATTCGAATAAATATGGCTTTTATTTCGTCAATTTATCATGTTTACTTTAGATAATATTAAAGTTACCGTAGAGCGTGCACAAAAGTTTAAAAACCTGCAAAAAAAACTCCGTAGGCCTGCTACCACTTTGCCATTTAAATCCCCGTCGTTTAAAGGTTAATCACAAAAAATTTTGGTTAATGTAACTATTATTACTATGGTTTAATTCAAAGTGAATTCCCACATAACCAATTGATCATGCAGTAATTGATGTGAAAAGGCATGCAAATGTATATCACATCTGATTCTGTAGAGGTGTTTGGCAAGACTGTAATAAAAAAAACATGGCACATTCTCAGATTGTGAATGGAGTAGAGAGCATCGAGATACGGACACCGTTTACTCCATAGTTTTGAATATATATATGCCAAGTCACAGACAGCCAATATGGAGTGGTTCTCTAACTTCAATGTTAGGCAGAGGCCAACAGTTCCTCACCACGAAAAACTGTATGTTACAAAATAGTACATAAAACTTCAAGAGTGTCTGTAAACTCTCTCCTTACCTTGATATCTCCATCAGCTGAGCCTGTTACAAAGAATTCCTCACCAGGATCAATGGCTAGGCACTTAATGGGAGATTCATGTGCCTGGAATCGATGGCGCAGCTGACGTTGACGTACATCTATAACACACACATCACCCTTCTTGCCAGCAGAAATTACCAGCTGATGCTGTGGTGCATAAACCAGACTTGATGCTCCTTGGTCATGGAATGAAAAGGCTGCAACCATTCACATAAAGTTAATTTTCTGATTTTTAACTCTATAAGCAGAGAATTACCTCAGAAGATTACAGTTGTTCAAGCAATTCTCCATAATTTTTGAAACTTCAAGCTTCATTACCATATTTAAGAGAACCTACCACTGAACCCTATACTTAGCCAGGCGAAAATAATCCACATCCTCCTATGTATGTCCGTAAGATCCATTTTAATATTTTTTTTCTGTCTAGTACATATCAGTGAAAGTTTACTCAATCTGTTTTATAGTATTGTATGTAAAGGGTTTCTGTATTTGGTATTAGGCTCTAAAAAGTTAATATTCCACATCTCTGCTTCTGACAGAACTGATAAGGTTGAAAATCAAATGGTCTATTCTTTCTTTAAAATACTTTTCAGCATTCATCTGGTTAGTACCAGACAGAACAATTTGCTTTGAGGGAAGAAAAATACTGTCCTCATGGGTTAGACATGGACAAAGGACATACTAAAATTCTGTTTTTGTTCCAAAGTTCATACGAACCAAATCCATGAACCACACCCTAAAGTTTATTTTTAACAAGCTAAGGATTGTTAACTGGACCTTTTGGGGGGGGGGGGGATTTTTAATATAATCTAGCATGTGTTCGGTCACAGCTTCTTGCATGTTATATTGGGAACTTTGAAAACTTAGTATTCTCTGCTATGTTCACACATTTAAGGATTGCAAATACAGTTTATAACAACAAAAACAAAAACAACAATAATAATATATAGATATATAATATGTAGATGTCTGTCAAGTACAGGCTGAAGTTTAAACTTGTGTACCTGTCATAGCTTCTTTTTGGCTTTGTTACAATCTTCCAAATAAGTCATCATATTGTCTGACAGATCAATATACATTTTATGAGTGACAATTTATTCACGCCAATGCAGAAAACTCTAAAATGTTATTGTAAAAATTATACTTTTTGAGTAATGGGGCTAACTGTATTGACTTATGAGAATTCCATTACTGATATACAATAACTTATCAAACATTCTTCTCACATGGCTTTGTCAGAGACCATCTATGCAGATTATGATGAATTATATCAACTACTGTTAAAATCTTCTGTATATAGCATAGAGCACTGAAAAATAAAAGCATAATACAGTACAATACATTAAATTAGTTATAAGAAAGTACTGCACAGAATTTAAACTAAAATGTAGATACTAAAAAAATTACTAGGTTAGTTAAAATGCATCTGAATGCAGCATATAATAAAGGCTAGATTATTAAAAAGTAGTTGCCAGTCTCTGTCTTTAAGATTCTAAAAGCAAACATCAAACAATACATACCAGTAATTAGAGCTTTTTTCTGAGGCAAAAGTGAATCCCACAATGCAACATTCTTATTCTCTGAACTATGGCCAGCTGTGGCAATCATACTGCAAGATCCTAGGAATATGAAGTCACTGGTTACCTTGTTGTGACATTGGTATGTCTGAAATGTGAAAATGTTTACAGAGTCAAGACAAATCACACACCTTATGCTTTCTGAAATGGACCACACTTTTTACTATCAGAGGAATTGTAGATACTTCATATATTTAAGGTCTGAAAATTATGAAAGTAAAGAAGTTTTGTAAGAATAAGAAGAAGCTCTTGCAAATGGGAACATTCAGTTAATTCTTTCAGGAAAGGCAAGTCCAGTTTTGCATAATAGCTTACTGTCAATCACAACATAGAATGCAGAGCAGAATATATAAACCATGCCATGGATATGACACTTAGTTACTACAGGTACATAATACTGGTCACTTCTAATAAAGGATTGCATATGTTTAAATATTAGAGGCAAATAAAGAAACTACAAAGCAAAATAGGAATGGTCTTTCCTTACAGAAATAAATTAAGTTAAGATTACATAAAGCACAACTCACAAAAAAGGGACGACTGGCACTGCTTGCTAAGCCAACTTGCCAAAGACTGAGATTCCCATCACCATCAGCAACACCAAACTTGTTGCCATGTTCACTGAACCGCACTCTTGTCACTTTAGCAAATGTCCCAGGTGGTCGGGGAACAGAAACTGCCTGAGAGTGGCCCCACTCCCACATGAGCACTGAACCATCCTGAGAACCTGTTAGATCTGAAGCACAACAGCCAGTCAGCTCAAAAACATATTATTACTGACAATGCACCAGCTCACCTGTTTTTTTCCTACAAAATAGTGGTTCTTAAGACTGTACAAGTTAAAGAGGAAAGTTACGTGTTCTACAATAAAATATATTCAGTAAACATCTGGCTCAACTTCAAGAAAAGATGGTCAACAATATAATATAAAATTACCTGTTTTCAGTTGAGATTTGGTTTTGGACAGGTTTTACTCTACATTAATACTTTTACTTCATTTCAATTACTACCATATATCAGCACATTAATAAGTTTTGTGTATGGAAAATATTGTAATGTGTTATGCAAAGCAAATTTTCCTGAAAACTGCTGTCTTCTGGGTTGTTGCGCCATATAGTCTGGTAGATGTTCACCAACGTTTCTGAGGTCCATGCTGCTGCATCATTGGTGCGATCACGAGGCAGCATGGACCTCTAAAACGTTGGTAAACATCTACCAGACTACACGGTGCAACAACCCAGAAGACAGCAGTCTTCAGACTCACTGTCGTGAAAACCTCAAATCCTACTAGAAATTATTCCATATGATTTCTTCTTGTGGAATATTTAAATACAGAATTCTATCAAACCAATCAACTCAAAGTAGAGCTCAGAGAATTTCATCAGCTTTAAGTGTCTATATATTCACAGAAATACAGCATGTAAGTCAGAATCTGTTTGGAAGGTATGGGAAATGTATCTGAGCTCATGGGTGAACATTTTAAGCACCTTCTGCAATGGTGGTAAATGAACTTCATTATATGGCATTGCTGTAGTCTTGTGATGTGACGGTAAAAAGCTGGCAAATAATGAAGTGATGACACTTGGCAGTAAGACAGTGCATTGGCACAGCTGCCAAATAACCATTCCATATAAACATTTCAAGCCAAGACATTTACATGAGGTAATAAAGTTCAAAGTAACAACTGATAAAAAATATAATTATACAGAAAGTAATACATTCAGCATTACACTGCTTCTCAGTGGTAGATATTGCACTTACATAATGGAAGAAGGGGATGTGAGCTTATTCTGCGAACTCCATCCACTCGGTGCTTCAGCATCTGCAATTATAAATAAACAATTAGTCTCAAAACAGTTTTTAAGTAATAATGTTTAAAGGTCTCTTGCAGTCTCAGAAATGTTATTTACACAGATAAATAATTTGATCAATTTCTCCATACTCATGCTCCATGCCATCATATAATGCACAAGGTAACATAACATGCTGTTGCATACAAATTAAAGCTACTGCAGTGAATTAAGCACATTTTCCAAATTAATTATCTGTAATTTTGCAGTCCTTTGTAGAATGATATTAGCAAAAATCAAATTAATCTGTATCTTTAAATACAGACCCAAATACAAAATTTAATTGGAATTTGTTAAGTAACTTTCAAAGTTAAAATGTGGATGCAGAGACACAACCTCATCTTATACATTCATTTTTTATGTTCTGAACAAAGAACACTCAAAAACAGAACTAACACAGCAGATGAATGACCAACAACGGCACGAACAGTTTGTATAATTTTTGAGATGTTTTTAATGTATGTACAGGAATAAAGTAATGCTGAAAGTATATCTGTACAGAATCACTGGAGAAAACATTCAAATTTACCTAAGACAGATGAATACTGGTGAGGCATATGATTGATGAACATATTCCAAGACTTTTGTGTTAGTGTTCACACTTTTAAAATTTTCATTCAAAGCTTGAGGGGTTTATATGTGGAGTTCAAAATAACAAATTCTGCAGGCCACTATTCTAAAATTCAGGCATACAGACTCTTCCTGTTTTATACATTTATGTGAATGTACTTAATATCAGTCATAATCTGGGTCAGATAACTAAATATTGTAATTTAAATAGAAGAGGAAAGTGTGTTTTCAGTTTAGATCCCATATAGTGTCATTATTAAAGAAAAGTTTCAAGTTCTGTTAGTAAAATTTACAGATGTACAGAAACTTAAAATTAAAAAAGTGGTGAGTGGGTTTTTAATGCCCACAGGGAATGGTATGTTATGACCTTTCTTGAATCTGCACACCTAAGGCAAATTTTCAATCAATTTCTGAGGTAGGAACACTCATAAGGTGGATTCTATCACTCCCAATTGTAGGTTGATCATGAGAATGAAGGTCGGCACAGGGGACTTGCAGTGAATGTGTGCTCCAAACAGCAGTAATTTCCCAAAGTTTTGTAAGTATTTTTGGCAGAGGTGAAGGCTTCAGTCTGCGAGGAGAACAATCTGCACACCAATCTCATTGGTCATCTGAATGAGAGTCCAGAGCATTTAAATAAATTTAAAATAATATTATAACCAGTAATGACTTTTTATTGCATTAGAATATGGAAAATCTTATATTTCTTTGTAAAGTAAAGGCTTATTTTAACAAGTTTGTTTTCTGAACATATGCTGTGTGTGTGTGTGTGTGTGTGTGTGTGTGTGTGTGTGCGTGCGCGCGCGCGTGAGTGTGTGTAGTGTCTACAAAAATGTTTATTTTTTCTGAAATACAATAATAATCTACAAGACATAATGTAAATACATACATCAAAACCATTTTTCTGAAAACTAAGTGGGCATGCTTTTGCATGAGTTACTAAGCTCAACAGATAATAAAACATAATATGAACATGTAAGGGTGTTGTGTAAGCTATATTTTAGGACCACTGCACCATTCAACATAAAATCAAGTACCTACTACACCTATAAACTGAAAGTGAATTAGAATGGTAACGGTTCTACTTCATGACTGATGCACTTTTAACCGAAAACTTTCCAAACTAACAGATACAAAAGTGTGAATGCAATTCTAAACACAAGTAAGAAATGCACACAGCTATTCAGGAGGATCTAAAACTAGGGTGATAGGATATTTAGTTTCCAACTACAGACCGTTGGGAGATTCAATTAAGTACAATTCGATCAAACTAAGGAGACCAGATTGGTATGTGAACTGAATACAATACAGCATCAAACATTTTTAAGAAGTTGAAATCCATCAGTTTTGCTTCTAACTACCCTTGGGTAACTAACTCCATGGCATGGGGTCTCCATTGAAAATATATGAGTTACTCGCTTTGTCAAGAAATTCTTTGCTTTTGTGATACCTGAAGGTTCATGAACATGTTTACAAAAGCCCATCATTCAACCTTACCCTGTTTAACCCAGCCACAATGACACATCACACTTCTCCAAGATTAACTTCAAATAATAATATCACAGATGTTCTCTTTGAAGTTTTCCAACCAAAATATGATACATATTTATCAGTCCCTTTGTGTGCTACATGTCTCACCCATCTCATCCTTCAATATTTAATCACCATAAATAGACATGTGTAAATTATGAAGCCTCCCCATAATGTATTATTTCTACACCTCAGTTCTATCTCCATTTAATTTCCTGCAGTAAATTTAACTTATTTTACATCCTCTGAATTGTGTGAACATATCTTTACATTTAAAACAGTTCCCAACTATCGTCTAGCAGATCTCAATGTAGGTGAAACTACAGGACAAGTATACTGAAATTTTTAATTATGCTTCATATTTATTTTATGCTATTTCAGTTCTTGGTAGATTACACTTCTGAATTTTAGAACTAAGAAGGCTCAGAAATGGGAAACATGAGATTTTCATGAATGTGGAGTGTGGTCCTCTGGGTTAAAACATCATGTAATTTTGTGGTTGGTTAACAACTTTGGAAGAAGCTATCACCTCCATCTTCAGGGTACTGAACCCTTCAGAACAAAATACTTGCTTGGCAAACAACATTACCAAGTGAAAGCATGTCCAAAAATCACATAAAACCACCTTTTATATGAGAAATCCCTGCACACCTGTATGCTCGAAGTTCAAGACAGTTAAAACTCAAGTAACTTTTGCTGATCCATTTATAAAGAATTTAAATAGCA